GTACAGGATTCTGGTCAAAGAGGAATTTTTGTCTAAACCTGAGTGAAATTTTATACATTCCTATGCTTTCCAGGGACTGACAAATATATAAACAACACTCCAGTATCAGTAGAAAGGCTAATTATGTTTAGAAGCAATTTGTGGCCGAGAGATGAAACTGGAAGATTTATTAAAATTCCCACCAAAACAAGAATGAATTTGGGGACTCTATTAGCTGGGGGTTAGGGGGAGTAAAATACAGCTCTCCCATACAGCAAAGCAAAAATTTCCTCTCCAATTAACCCCTTTACCTGGCCTTGTACTATAGGTTATACTAATGCCCTCAATTTAAAATTTTAAGGCATCAGAAATAAAAAAACATTAAGCAGTGGCCCAGGGATAATTTACACCAAGTGCAGAGAAGGCAGGCTCTGGCAGTGCTTGTTGGTTTAGGATATTTGTAATGGGGTGAGAGGCTCCCAGTAAAACACCCAGAGGAGCTTTGTGTCACCTGAGGCTCTGAAGAGAGAAATCTGCATTAACATTTGGCAGGAATTGCAAGTGAGCCAGGACCAAGCTGGCCACGACCCTGCATCTTCTGAGCATGAGAGGAAAGTTTTCTTTAACTTGGCTGCTTTGGGATGAGGCTGTGGTGGGGAAATGCTCTGCCAGACAAGGGAGCAAGGAATGACAAGGTCTTGGAGACAAGATGTAAGAATTAAATAAGCTCAGGAAGAATGTCTAGGTCAAAACTGGTATTTTTGATATTGTTTTTATGTACAAACACAAGTCCTGGCACAAGGGAGTAAGTTTGGGTGAATACATTTTAGTCTGAAGGTTATTCGTGGGTAAGCTGTTTGATTCTCCAGTGTTAATTCTGCTTTGTGTTGCATCATAGGAATCCCAAAGATTTCTTTGTATCCCAGAGTGGATAACAAATAGAATTGGAGAATGACCTATAGTTGATAGTAAACAAGGGAGAAAGTCTATGAGTTAAATTTACCAAGCCTGCAGAACTTTTTTCTGAATTTCCTCAAATAACATCCCATTTCCCCAAATAACAAGTGACATGATCTGCACAAACATGACAAAACAATGTCAACATTAATCTGCATGGAAACATCTGTAAATCAGGATCTTGGGGACTCTTTGTGCAGCACTGAAAGTGTGTTAACCCTTCTTCCAGAAATAATAAAATCATAACATTTCCCTTCTGGATGAGCACTTTTGATACTTTTTAAAGTAAACCCACTCTTAGTCAGGGAAGCACTGCAAAGTGTTTGCAGAAGCAAGGGGCTGGTTTTGTCAGAGGGAGGTGGATGGCAAAGTGACTGTGGAGTTAAATTCTAAAGAAAACAGCCACTGGAGCAATGAGCTGTAATCTTCCTTAATCCATAGTATCAGCTGTTGACAGATACATACAGAGTGATTAATAGGATGCTAAAAAATGTTAACAAAGCAGTAGGGACTTAGAGACCGCTCTGAAAATTTCCTTATCACACTTATAAATTCACCAGAGGAGCCATCATTACAATGTATGACAAAACATATGTTTTCTCTAGCAATTTGCTGGCACGTCTAATCAAACGTGTCATCAGAAGTGGGGAGTGGAAATTAAACTCCTTTTCTGCTCTTCCCTGTTCCTTCTCAGGGATGAGGAGAAAAACCCCACTGGGATTCTGCCATCTCACATGTTCCACAAACCCTCCTCAGGCACGAGATCCTTCCAGCTGGAGCTTCTGCTCCAAACATTTATCTTGGAGGGATTTGTTTCTTTCTTTATTTATTTGTTGTTAACAAGGAATTGAAGGAGAATGGGGGATGAGCAACGCATTCTCTGCCTAAGAGGACTTTCACCATTTAGCAAGATTTAAGTTTCTGTTGAGACTTCAGTAAGGGAGGGGAGTGACTACAAGGAGCGATGCTCAAAAACAAAGATATTTCAGACTTGGATTAGATATTCATCCTCAGTCTGGAGGACATGATCTTGAAAAAAATATTCAGTTTAAAAAGCAGGATGATAAATACCTTTCTAGAGTCTTTCTAGGATATTATTATTCCTAGGAAGGCCTTTATAAGCTCCAAAATAGTGATCACAATCCTACATGCTTGATATAAGCCTCAACAGATTTCCGTGGGAAAATGTTGAAGGAGAGGGAAAAAAGTTCAGTCTCTCTATTTCCCCCCCTACTGAGATTAAATATAATCTTTGTAGTATACACTCCAGTATTTTTCTGGGCTTGTTTTTAATGAGATTATTCAGAAATCAGCTCCTAGATTTTGCAGTTCCCATGCTACCTTCATTTCCCTGATGATATTCATGAGTAGAGAAGCCTTAACACTTCAAAGGCAAACCATCCAGTCCCCAAGACTACATATAGGCCCAGTAAAACTAAAATTATCCATCCTTGATGTTGTAAAGGCTTGTTCCCTATAACTCCTTTTTAGGGGACTGTAACACAACCAGAGCTGTGCATTGAAATGGGCATATTATGAACTGGAAATGAGGATAAAATCTGCAATTGCTCCATATGTAACTGCACAGTTTGGGTTTTGCAGGCATTGGTGCTACTGCAGAGAGCACAGGGCAGCCTCCTGCATGGTTATCCACAGCAGCCTTGTCTCTGGGCTGGAAGTAACTGGTGCTGATGGAGCATCCCAGCATCTCTGGGAGACATGGACTGGCTCCTCACTAATGGGAACTGCCATGAAACTCATTATGGAGCACAGCTCCTCCTGGGCTGAGCTCAGCAGGGTTCATTTGGCTCAAAGCTAAGGCTGGAGCAGCCTCTCACTCCTGCCATCCCCCTCCTGGTGTTTCCTTCCCTGGGATCTGTCACTCCTGGGTCCCTGTCCACAGACCTGAGCTCCAGTGGCAGCCGAGCTGCAGCACTCCAGCCATCGAGTGAGAGAAAAAAAACCAAAAACAACCCAAAAGCAGATTTTGTGCATCCCTTGTGCAGCTGTGCTGTGTCATTGTGACTTTTTTACAAACCAGAGCCCAGAGTCAGAGTCAGAGTCCATGAGTGGAGTAGAAACAAGTGTGGTCCCAGCTGCTGGGATCAGGGTGTGATGAGCCAGCAGAGGAAGCTGAATGCATTTTTCTGCCTGACTCTAGTTCTGCTGCTTCAGCTCAGCATTTCCAGAGTTTTGGGAGGTAGATTGAGGTGGATTTATTCTGCTGGTTGCTGCAGCCCTCTCGTGGTCATCCTTCTGTTGCTGGGGAAGCACAGTCTGAAATTCTGCATGGGAGGAGAGCATCTTTTAGAAAGCAAAAGAAATAGTTATTAAGCAGCATGTTCACCAAAGAATAAATATATAAACAAATGGGACACTTAGGATGCTATTTATTCCAGGTGTACAAGCAGAGTTGTTGATAAACTACTTGCTTTTGAAGAATCAAAGGAAAAATTACATTGATCAGCTGTGTTTTTAATGGGGTGCCCTGTTTAATCTCCCCAGCCTGTCACTAAACAGTCTGCTTTGAAGTGCTCCTTTATTTTTGAGCATTTGCACATTGATTTGCAATGGTGTAGGTAAATTTTATGCTCACAGATGGTTTTGCTGAGTATCTGTTTATTGGAAATGTGTCTGTGAAGGAAACTCCAAAGAGGGGTAGAAAACCTCTTGGGCTGGGGAAGATCTGGGCAAAACTGTATTGTGCCAATTTTCTGCAAACACTAACAGGAAGATTTTCCTTTGAAGCTTGAAATGCAAGCATGATTTATGGTACCTTTTGTTTTTCCTCTTAATCTACCAAGTAGAGACAGAGACACCCCTGCTGATTTGAAATAAACTGTGGGAATTCAAAGTGGAAGGAGAACAGTGATGGGAGCAGTGCTGAGATCCTGTCCAACAGCCCAGCTGTTCACTCCCTGCCCAGTGCTGGGAGCCAGCACCAGCAAAGGAGATGCCCGTGGAATAAACAATAGGATGGATCAAAGGGAAAAGCTTGTGCACAGGTATGGGGTACTCTGAAGGAGGTTGTCCACTTTTGACTGATGTTTCTGGAACTGACAGCAATAGTACTTGCAGGCTGGGGTGCCTCAGTCCTGACAGGGAGATGATATCATGCTGCTGGTTTCCCATTATTTTGCTCATTTTTCCTGTTACAGCAGTTTCAGGAGAAATGGCTGTGTTTCAAAAAGATGTGATAAAACCCAAACCTAAAAAAGTACCCAAAAAAAAAAAACAAACCAAAGGACAGAGGGGAGACACAATGGCTCTGGAGGCTCGTTACCTTTTCAGAGTGATGCTGTCCCTGGCAGTAACTGCATTCAGCTGGGTGGGGTGGGCCACAGGATCAGCAGGACTCTGGGTGACAGTGACATGGAATATCTTGCAAGCCAGAGTGACAAACCCATGTGTTCATGGGACGGGAAGAAGCCATTTGATCCCCACCACACCTCCACCTGAGCCCCTCCAGGTGCACACAGGTGTGTCCTACCCAGCTTAAGCATGGAAAACTTAGACATAGAGACAGATGGCTTCTGTGCCTGCAGGTGTTTCCCACCTGAGCTGGGTTTTCCCCCCTTGGAGCTTTGCAATGAGGCTGCTGACACTGCAGGCAGCTTCCCCATGTCCAGGGTCTGCACAGCAGCACGGTGCCAAATGCAGCACCAAACCTCACTGGCATCCTGAGTGGCATCTCCCTTTGGAGCTGGCTGCCCTGCAGCACCTCCTGCAGCCCTCTGAACAACTCAGGGCCCTTGGGAAACAGTCTTAACTTACCTATATTAACATTTTAACCACATACACCACATTTTAGTGCTGTTGGTGCTGTTTTGCTGTGCTGCAGCAATGCTGCTCCACGACAGCCAAGCTGCCTCCCAGGGCTGCAGCACAAGGACAAGCTGCAGCTCTCTCCCAGCTTTTACACGTCCTCAGGCTCATCTTTCTCACTTACAAGAAACCCTTAATGCCTCCATAAAATGGTACTTTGCATATTTTTTGTTTTTTAACTCAATGACCTCTTTGCTCTTCATTTTCTATAATATCATGTGTGCAGAACCAGATGTGACTTTTGTGTTTTAAGATTGCTTTTATTTTATATGGAGACAAGCAGTAGTAAGAAAGTAACAAAATTAATGTCTGCCTGAAAGAGCACAGGGCAAGTATCATCCTGGGTTCCAAAATATTCTCCAAACAAAAAGGCTGATAAATTTTTAAGACATGTCTATATTGTGAGACACTGAGACACTTGGGACAGTAAATGTCTATGCCAATAAAACCCCATGAAATAGCCTAGTGCAGAGCAACTTACTGCTCAGGCCTGGGTGCAGTGACATTACCTGGGTGCAAAGCATCAGGAACATATTGCTGGTTTTGTTCTGGTGATGCCTCAGGTTTTAACTTTTATATTTTTCAGATTCTGTGCTGCTTTAGTCTGTACTTTTGATCTTTGTATTAGGGGATGGTGAGCTCTCTTTGTAGAGTAGGCAAACCTTCTCTAGCTGGGGAACAAGGACAAATGATCCACATCTCAGGCCCAAGAGCATAAACTATGTGGACTGAAGAGAGAAAAACAAGGATGGGACTTCATCACCAAAAGCTATAATTGAACAATTAATATGCAAATGGACCAAAACTTATAAAAGTGTGAGACCCCTTGAATCGTCCATTTTGTGACCATTTTGGGTCCACCTTGGGTGTAGCCCTGGCTGGGCTCGGGTGCTGCCCATCCATTGGGGCCTGCTAATAAATCCCTACTTTATTCTTCAGCTCCATCTAGTCCCTGCTCTAGGTCAGCCTTCGCAAGGCGTCAGTGTCTGGCGACCCAGATGGGACAGAAGGCACCGCTGGCACGCGTGGCCGCAGCGGGTGTGTGCCCGGCCGGCACCGGGCTGCCACCTCCTCCAGCTGCCTCGTCCATGGGTGCGCAAACACGCGGCTGCACCCACAGCTGGAAGTGCCAGCGAGAGCTCCGGCAGGATGCACGGCGCCAACCAGCCAGTTCCACAGGCCGCGGCCTCTAGGACTCGGCGACGATCATGCTGAGGTTGTTGCTGAAGATGACCCTGCCGTCCCTGGTGCTGCTGCACTCGGGCTGGCACAGAGCCTCCTGCAGCTGCTGCCGCAGCGCCGGCGGGGCCGTGCCCAGGAAGTTTTTGGTCCCGGTCAGGAAATCCATCATGCGGCCGCCGACCGCGTCGCCCTCGACGAAGCACTCGGTGATGTCCCAGCCCGACGGGAGCTCGTAGACGCGGTGCTGCACCCCCAGCCCCCGCAGCACCTCCGTGATGCCGCTGCAGGTGATGTAGTGGCCGCTGTCGGTGGCGGGCAGGCAGTCCCTGTGCTTCTTCCACAGGCTGGCCCAGCCGCTGCTGTCTGCCGGGGCACCAGGGAAGGTTACTTTGGCAAAGCCAAGGCAGTCAATCAACTGTGAAATGAGCTGGGAAAGCTCCCTCGCTGATGGGGCAGGAGGAGAGCTTTACCCTTACTCAAGACTACTTATAAATATCTGCACCTCACAAAACCCTGGTTTCCCTCAGCCCTCCCTCCAAAGCTGCCCTGTTTAAAGGAAACTCCTAGGAGATGTCTCCTGAATTTGCCCAGAAGGAAGGGTGCACACAGAGGTGTCAATGTGTTCAGCCTGTGCTACCTCTTAACTGTCCCTTGGCCAAAGCTGTACAGATGTTTTCACTCATCAAACCCCAACTATAAGTGCTCATTGAACAATACATACCTCAAAAAGCTGCCCCAGACAGCAAGGGAAACAGCCTAGAGACAATGTGAGAGGCAGATTTTGTGGGGAACATGGGAATTGGTGCTTTTCCACCACACTGTGAGCCAGGGATTCATGAATGCCAAAAGGGACAAAACACTCTATTCTTTTAAGAAGTGCCATCATGTTGTGCCCTTTTCTCCTGACCTGCGGTCCTTCTGGGCTCTGGGTCATTGCTGTACAAAGGTAAGAGCCCTAAGGATGAGGCCACACAGAGCTCAGGTTGTGTTTTTCCAGTGCTGATTTCACCATGAGGAAGGATGGACAGCCACACTTCTCTCTACTACATCAATTCCATAAACAGGGAAGCAAGAGCACAAAGGCTGTGCCTAAGGGGCCCCATCAGACACTGGGCCCAAGGCTAAGCCCAAGATTGCATTTTTCATATGAAATCCAGAATCTTAAAAAGTTATTTACTATAGAATAAGCACCACTGACATCCCCAGATAAATATTTGTGGCTCTTGAATGCTAAAGACCTTCAAAACTCCAGCAATGGAGAAAAAAAATACAAGGTCTCCCTTACCTGATAAAATTATGATCAGGAGTTTACCATGATGGTCAAGGCAGCTGTGGAAAAACTTGATAGTACTGGGAATATCCTCCACACGGTACAGCATCTAGAAGAGACAGTGACACACAGCCATTATTCTTCCTCCACAGTGCAATGACCCTCCAAAGGCTTAAATCCTTTATTTTGGAGGTGTTTTAAATTCTGTTCCAGGTGTTTTCCAGCCTTTCCTGATTCCACATGCCCATTTAGGGACATCTCACATCACTGAGCATTGCCAGCTTTGGTGTTTGTAGAGCTTCTGCAGAATTGCTATGGGAGAGCAGTGCTCAGCTCTGGTCATAAATTCAAGCACACAGCAGAACTGAAGGGGGTAGTTAAATCCTATAGCCCTGTGTTAAAGAAATGTCCATTACCTGGATCATATGGATGAAGTCAAATTTCTTATGTGTGCCTCTCTCCTTCACCTGCTGTTCATACTCCAAGGAAGTGAGCTGGTGCCAAATAAAAGAAACATTCTGCAGGTCTGGAGCTTGATTCACCAGCTCTGTTTCAAAAAGCAGAAGAAAACCCTGAATTTCATAAATATTCATAAAATTTCATAAAATAGCAGAAAAACTCAGCATTCAAACTCAGCTATAACCCAGGCAGCAGGTGCAGCCTTACCTTTGTAAGCTGCCACATGCTGTGGGTTGGGCTCCACAATCTCATTGTCAATAAAGACCCCTGGGTGCACAGCCTGCAGTATTCTGATCATTTTCAAATCCTGCTCACCTATTCAATAAACACAAATTCACTACTTTAGAAAGCAGGTAAATGCAATGGAAGGATGCCAGTGCACCAGGCACCACTCCTGCCACGAAATCCCCCAGCAGAGGTGAGGCATGTTCTGCTTTGTGGCTCGTGTGGAGGCACAGCCTGGTGGTACTCTCACCATGGTATTGTAGTGCTCAAGCTGACAGAGGGGTACAGAGGAGCCTGAGAACAAGGCAGAGACAAACAGCAGCACAGAAACCTGCTAATGGCAATACCCTGGGTCGTGGGACACACAGGCCAAAAGAATCACAGCTCACTGTTCACAAAAATAACCATGAAACATTAGTTTTCAACAACCCCACAAAGTTTGAATGGGTGCTGGGAGGCAGCTGACAGCTGCATGGGGTGGCCCATGGCTTTGGGGCTGTCACAGGGACACAGTGACACAGTGATACAGCCCCAAGACCTGGGGAACTGCATCACAAGAGAAAAGACCCACGGACATGCAGTGTCCTGGATCCTCCCTCTTTGGGTATCAAATAACTGATGGCTATCTTGGAAATACAGGTGGACACACATTTGTGTGGAAGTGCCCTGCAAATTTAGCTCTCGGTGCTCCTGTGCTGCTGTATAAGCTCTGGAGGAGCAAGCAGAAGTCTGTCCTCCTGCTCTAGGAACTTTCCAGCCTCTCTGAGGTGATACAGGTCATGCTGCTTATTTCCCAGAAATGCCAAGTGTATGAGTCCCCCTGGAGCACTTCAAGCTATGTAAATAAACAGCAGATGTGACCACCTTGATGAGACCTCTGCAAGAATCCTATCTGTAGCTGATGGTAGGGCCTAAAAATAGCCCTGGCCTTAAAAATGTCACATGGGGAGGTCTTGATAGGAGATCCTGCATCCTCCCTGCTCCTTCAGCTGATGTGCCAGCCACAGGAAGAGCTGCCATCCTTGGCAGGTGCTGCAGCAGGAAGGAAATACCAGCCATGCCAGTACTACATCCAATGGAGGAGGAGTCTTTTGAAATGAGAGAAAAAATACCCCAGGCTTGTGAGGAATGCAGTGGCAGTGGGGCAGGGCCAGCCAAAGGCTCAAGGGAGGAGGCTGTGGCTGCATCCATTGAAGGTACAGGGACCAATACTGCTGACAGGAAGGAAGATCCCAATAGCAAGCAGCTGAATCATTTGTGGCAGCCCTAGATGTCAGTTTGTAAGTGCCTGGTTTGGGGAGCACCAGCCCTTAGAGCTGCCTGCAGCCTTGGGGCAGGGCCAGAGGAAGAGCATCACTGTCCCATGCCCTGGAGCCACTGATGGAGGTAAATGAGTGCAGCAACAGCAGGTTGTCTTAAAAGCTGCTTAGGTTTGGAGTTTTTTTCACTCTGCCTCTGTAAAATTCCTTAATCCAGTGTTTGCAAGAGCAGGTAATAACATCTTCAACCAGGGTGTCTGTAAAAACAAGCAGTAAAATAACAGCACTCTAGGGCAGGAATTTCCCTGCTGCAGCTGGCCCTGCCAGCAACAACCCTCCAGCACTGACCACAGCAAGGCTGGGACAGGACTGGAACCTCTCTGCAACTGGAAAGTTCCAGCCCAGAGTTCAACCAGCCATGAGAAAACATGGGGTGAGTGAGAAAACGTGATTTGGACCACAACAGAGACTTTCAGGATGTGGAGTCAGCTACTAATCCTCATTAATATTTTCATCAACTAAACTAATTCTGGGGCCTCTGTGAAACCAGAGTCCACCTCTGAAAAGGTCAGGGATCAGATATAACCTTTTACTTGGTGCCATCCCAGCTCACTCCATGCCCAGCCCCAGAAGCTCAGTCCTTGCAGACATGGGCAAGCTGGGGGGGTGCAGGTCTGGACCCCTCTCCTGGCATCTGTGAGGGGCACTCACCCAGGAAACACAGGAAATTTTAGAGGGTTTATTTTTCCATTAGAACCTCCTCTGAAGAGGACATAAGGAAAATTAAGGACGATGCTAAAAGTTCATTTCCCCCCTGTGCTTTTGTGGAGTCAGAATTTCTGTTTTATATTACTTAATGAAAATAGAGGGTAATTGAGAGCTGAATCATTTCTTCCTGCTTGGTTTCTCATATGCTCCAACATATTCCCAGTTGGGGAAAACAATCAAATGCTAATTTTCTCTTACTCAGGAAAACAAAACCAAAAAAAGTGAGGAAAATGCTTTCATTTGAAAGTATTAGCACTTAAAATTCAGCTGAAAATACTTTTCAAAGCAGAAGTAAACTCTGACAAATCAAACCACTGCTTCATTTCTCTACTCTTTATTTTCTCCCAATTTCCCTAGGAGCAAAGTTGGCAGTTTCACCACTTTTTTGTTTTGTTATTTTGGCTTTTCTTAAACGCAAATGCATTTAGAACAACTTTAAAGCTATTTTTCCAAAGGATTGGTTTCTCTCTGGGGAAAAATATCATTTGCAGTTAAAGCCTACTTATCACTGGGTAAAAACACAGCAGTAACAAAGAAACATGTCTTGAAAAAGCTGATGCAAAGCTAATGGTTGTGGCCAGGTGGTTTTGCACTACTGAGAGCAGGGCACTGCCCAGCCTTGGCCTCTGGGATCCCTAAAAGCAAAGCAAAAGGAGACATCCCTTCAAGGGGGGATAGTCTAAGGCAGGATTTTGGGTGGAAAGAACTTCTCCAATGTCTCTAATTCTCTCCAACGAAGTTTGAAGATGCTCTTGTACCAACCAGAAGGAGGAGTCCTTGCTTTGAGGCAAATAAGTCGGGTGAGAGTCACCAAGAGGCAGAAACGAAGCTAAAATCACACATTTCTAGAAAGATCTGAGCAGCAGTGTTTCAGAAGGGGGATGGAGAGGGAAGGAAAGGAAGGAGCACTCCTCTTATCGCAGGTCCACCTTCCTTCTGCTCTTCTGTGCTCCAGTGGGAAATGCTGTCATTAATGTCTGAGTAATCCTCATTGCTCAATTTTCTAGTATCTCCTGCTCCCCACAGGTCCCCCGTGCCCATCCCCACACTCCTCACCTGTGCCACTCCCAACTCCCAGAACGCTGAGGGTCGATTTTCCAGCGCCCAGACTGAAAGGATAAATACACATCACTTAACCACACTGTGGCACACCACTTCGTGTTTTCAGTCTTAACTCTTGGATGACACATCAGCCTGGAAATTTTTGTGTTATGCACATGAATTGGGAGAGAAATTTGATCATCCCTTCTGAGCCTGGTGATAACCAGCATGGCAGGAGCCTGCCCAGAGCAGCCAGCTCATATTTCAAAGTACAGTAGGGACCAAAATGCAGAATTTCTCACCCTTTGCCAAGGAGATTTCTTCAGGCTGTGGATGGCAAAAAAAAAAAAAAAGGCTCTGGGAAGCCCGGGGCAAAGGGGCTGTACCTGTCTGGGATGGCACTGCTGGGGAAGCAGGGACAAGGTGAGCTGGGGAAAACCTCAGCACCCTCACGAGGGAATATTGGGTAAAACACCCAGAAAAAGCAAAACCATTTGGCTATCCAGGTGACTGGAAATCATCTCTTATCAACATTAATCTTGGATTGAAATTGGGAGGAGGGTCTGAATAGTCAATAATTTTTACCTTAGAAAAATTGCTTATTAAAAGATTCCAGTCACATGATACCTAGCAAAATATTAATAACAACCGAGGGATTGAGTTTCCCAAACACAGTCTCAGGAGTAATGATTCCACAGGATTGGGATGAGCAGCAAGTCCTGAAGGGTGTGATCAAGTCCAGGGGCCTTAGCCCCTTCACAAATCTAAAATTAGCATCATAGAAAGTCACAATGTTGTTCATGATTTAAATTCATAATTAAAATTTCTTAACATAATTTATTTTTATAATAATATAATATTATTATTTCATAATAATGGGGGGGTTGTTTATTTTATATACATATGATCTGTAGAATAAAAATTTGCCTGCCTAAACTTTTTACACAATGGAGAAAAATACAGTTCCTATAACATCCAAAAATTACCCAGATTTGAAAGGACTTTCTTGTGCTTTGGATCCAGGCCGTTCTGAAGCTGTCTGCAGTTATCCAGCCTTAAGATATTACATCAATACTTTACAAAACTGATTATAATTTGGTACTTAAGCATTGCAAATCGACTTAGGATAGAAATAAAAAGCTCTTAGGGGATTGGGAAAACCACAAATTAGCCACTAGGAGAGAATTAGAGATGTGTTTCTGTTTGGATGGATGTGATGCAGTCCCAAAAGCAGGGAGAGAGCATAAGAGAGCTTTCTTTCAGAAAAAGAAAAAACAAACCACCAAAAAACCCAACTTTAATCCTCAAAAATCAGCTAATGAAAAGAGATGGACATGAGAAGGAGGTCTTGAGTCTTTCCTTAGCATAAGCTGAGAGGCAGCAGAGTGTATTAATTGAAACAGCACGTACTCTGGAGTCATTAAACAGAATATCCTAAAAACTACTAGTAGGGGACTTAAAACTGAAAAGCATTTAAAGTTCATTCCTGCCCCAAAAAATCCTTAGAAGTGTTTGCTGACTCCCAGGATAATGATGGTTTTCCCACCTCGGGGGAAGTGCTCCTTACCCAGCCACAATATTGGGCATTTGATCCTTGTTGAACTCATCCATGCACTGGTGCTCTGTTGAGTGATCCAAAAATGCTTTAAAGGCCTCCACATATTCCTCAGCTGTGAGGCTTCTCATGGAAGGGATCATGTAGAGATCTTGGGAAACAATCATGGATTGCATGTTAGAGGCTTAGAGGCATATGAAGGGTCAAAGCACTTACCCCATGGGAGAAACCCAACCTAACCCACCAGGAGCCAGGGATTTGGGAAAACGATGCAGGGGATGCACTTTCCAACCTGTTCACACTCAGGGTTCCAAAATTATTCTTGGGCACCCTTCAACATCAGCATGTTTGCTAAGTGACTCATCATTACAGAAAAATATCTCCAAAATGTTTAGCCAGATGTGGGGCACCTTTGCAAGGGTTGGAACTGGAGGGGTTTTCTGGAGGACTAAAGAAAAGGTGAAGGGATCACACGGTGGGTCCAAACCTGTGGCCATCACTGGTGCCCATGCTGGACGGTGTGACCAAGGTGGGCAGCTCTTGGCACACTTCCCAGGAGGGGTGATGCAACACAAACCCTGCCACCTGCAGCTGAAGCAAAAATAGTCCACCCTGTGCATCTCATGTGTTACTCTCAGCACGGGACTGAAATGGGCTGCCAGGGAGGGGAATTCCCTGCTGGGACCTGCTGCTCATGGCCAGGAGGGCAACTGATGGCAAAACATTTCACCTGGATGGGCTCATGTTGAAATGTGGGTGACTGGCACCAAGGTCTCTCCCTGTGACCCAAAACCCAGGGATACTCAAGGGGTTCCAAGCAGTTACTGCAAAGTCTCCCTTTCCTGCTGCTCCATCCTAACGACAGGGCAGTTCACAGAGTTCACAGAATTCACAGAATCACTGGGTTGGAAGAGACCTTCAAGATCATCGAGTCCGACCCAGCCCCAACACCTCAACTAAACCCTGGCACCCAGTGCCACATCCAGGCTTTGTTAGACACACCAGGGATGGGGACTCCACCACCTTCCCAGGCAGATCATTCCAGTACTTTATCACTCTTTCTGTGAGAAACTTTTTCCTAATATCCAACCTCTATTTCCCTTGACACAGCTTGAGGCTGTGTCCTCTGGCTCTGTCAGTGCTGCCTGGAGAAAGAGCCCAACCCCACCTGAGCACAGCCAATTTCAGGCTCTGGCCAGCTGCTCAGGGCTGAGGAGCAATGGCAGGACTAAGAGAAGATGCCCTGCTGGGCTGGGTCTGTCTCAGACAATGCTGCAGTAGGAAGGCACTGACAGTGCAGCCTCCACCTGCAAGATCAATGCTGAAAAGGCATCATTCAATGGGGAAAAAATCAGCTATTCCTCTTAAATGAAATGAGGATGAAGGACAGGACTTGGCAGAATACATTCATCCTCATTTTTGCCTTTCAAAGTGTTGCATTTTTATCACCATTAATAAGAGAACCATGTATGTCTCAGGACACTGCAACCTCAAGTTGAATGCCTCTGCTGTTTCCAAAACCATGTGTCTTTGGCAGCTGTGTTCCTGGTCCAGCCCTATTGGAGGTAAAGACATCAATATCTATCCTCAACACTTTGAACTCTACCCTAACATAAACCTGAAATCAGCTGAATTGCAGTCAGCTTACCATCCTGCTTCTTTGTCTTTTTTATTATTTAACAATCTCTAATTCCAGAATAATTAAAACATGTTTGTAGTGATAGCAATCTGAGTGGGTATTTTACTTTACTTTCTTTTTTTCTTTTTTTTTTTCTCCCAAATACCTGAATTATCGTGTGGTGTTGTCAGAATCTCTGCTTCAAAGTTCATGCTGGGGAAACTATTCCTGTAAGGAAAGTATAGAACTTCAGTTATTTGAAGAACCTGTATGCTTTTTTGAAGTTGCACTGAAAAGGCAGAACAAAGGGACGATGCTCCAGGACAAACTTTCCTCTGCTGATAATCCATAATTTATTTTGTTCTTTTTTACTAGAGAAAGCCAAAACTCCTTTGTAGCTGATCATAGCCATAGAATCCTAGAGTCAATAGAATAGTTTGGGTTGGAAAGGACCTCAAAGCTCATCTTGTTCTAATCACCTGCCATGGGCAGGGACACCTTCCACTATCCCAGGTTTCTCCAAGCCCTGTGCAAGCTGGCCTTGGACACTTCCAGGGATGGGGCATCCACAACTGGCCACTGCTCCAGTGTTTGAGATGTACTGTGGGAGTTTTCATACCCCTGCAGAACCATTAACCAGTCATTGCAACTGAAGGCATCAGCCTGACATTTTCCTTTCTTCATTTTCCTTGGACAATGTGCCTCATACATAAAACAGGGGTGAGGTGCCACTGGAAAAAGCAAGAGATGCATTTAAATTGGAGCAAGGGCCTCACTTCTGCAAAGACAGGCTTGGGATGAGGCTGTCTGTGCAAAGGGAAGAGTCCCCTCCTGGGTAACCACATTTCAGTATCGAGATGCACAGCAAGTCTTAGGGGTGATATCCTGTGCAATGTGTTTAGACACACCAAGGCTTTGCTGTTAGAAAATGCCTCAGGGCAAGCAGTCTGACATAGCAGACCCCAGCCTAATAATCTCTTCTGCCAAGGAAAAAAATCCCAAGTGAAGGAAAAAACAAGGCAGGAGGTGTAAAAGTAAAGAAGGGAGTTTGTAGTGGGGCTTTGAGATACAAATGTGTAGGGACCATGCTGGCCATGTGGCAAGGAAGTGTCCACATGCAAATACTGCACTGCTTTGATCAAGGAAGGCAAGAAAATACTGAGAGGTCCTGGAAGTCTCAGAGACACTGGGGCACTTCCAGAGTCCTGCAAGAGTGGCTGATTTCATCTGAGTTCAGTGCCAAAGTCATAGAACTCATGTCCATGGGGCATGTCAAAGGTCTCTCTTCCACCACCTTGACCTCACCTCTCCCCAGGAAAGACCTCTCAGAAGAAGCCAGAACTCAGCCCAGCTCCACAATCTCCAGCTTGGCTGCAGGCCAGTCCCTCCAATTTCCACTCAACCCTCCAATCTCTTCCATCTCTGCCCATCAAAACCCCCAGAGGGTTATTTTGTCCCCTCAGCTGGGTGAACCCAGCAAGGTGCTTTTCAGAGCAAATCTCCCACTAAAATGCTGAAGGGTAGCATGGCTTTTCCTGTGCAGGGAGGAACAGCTTTGGACATGAATTCCATTTCTGACAGGTCAAGTGTTTCCAGCCATGCCACGAGACCTGCCAGGAGACCTGGACAGACTTCAGCACAGGCATTCACCAGCACAAATGATGCCAAGATCTCTTCCACTGACACTTTTGCCATTTCTCCTGGCAGGGGTTAGATTCTGAGACTGATTAACACTTGTTGCTGGGAAGGTGAAACAGGAACAAACAGACTTCTTCTAAAATCTGGTTAAAATCCAGACCAGATCCTAAAATTTGCAAATAACATTTTGGGCTGGTCCTGCCCGAGCCAACAGCAGGACTGAGGCAGGGACTGCCAGGGAGCAGGATGCCCGTGGTTGCCACAGCTCCCAGCTAAGACTGAGCTCGCAAGGTTAAACTCTTCCCTCCGTGAGCAGAGCTGGGTAGCACGGACAGCAGCCACAGGGAAGTCACATTAGAACTTTAGGTGATGCAGCCTCTTTACATTGAAAAAGATTTCTCTAGGGAGACAAATTGCAAGAATAACTCATAAACTTCGTTATTCCTAAACTTGGGCTGTGTAGGGGCTAAAGTTCTCCCCCTTAGCCCCCATCCTTCGCACCACCCCTCCCTCCCTCCCCTGGCAGAGCCCGCGTACCTCTTCAGCTGCGGGGCCGGCTCCACGGCGGGTGGGGACGCGGATCCCGATGCTCCCGTGTCCCCTCCAGCCCGGCAGAGGGGCCGGGCCGGCCGGCCCGAGCTCAGCGCGTCCCGACCCGGCTGGCCCCGCCGGAGGCCGGAGGAAACCCGAGCCCGGGCAGGAGCGCCGGGGGACCCCGGCACTCGCAGCCCTCGGAGCCTGAGTGGCAGCGGCAGACCGGGGCTGCTCCCGCTTTCCCATGTGCTGTGAGCCTTGTCCCTCCTTCCTGGGCAGCAGCGAACGCTTTCCCGCATCCCGGGGATGCGCTGGGTGGTCCCTGCCTTCCCCAGGGATCGGAGGAGCTCCTTGGCTGCCCGCAGACCCGAGCAAGCGATTTTTCCGTCTGTGACTCAGGGGGAATATGGGGCATAGCGGCAGAACCTCCAGCCCCGGCAGCCTGGCATCCCCTACCCTGCCAGGACAGGGCAGCGAGCCCAGCCTGCTCTCGCTCTGCTTGCTAAGCTGCAGGGATTAGAAAGCAAGGAAACATTTTGGGGGACAGGGGAGAGGTGGCTGGAGGTCCCCACGAAGGTGCAGTGGTCACTGTTCAAAATGCAGAAAATCCTGGGTGCTCCCCACACTTGCCTCTGGATTTTTCCCCTACCCTCACCCACAGGACTGGTGCTCCTTTTGCCTAAAATCTAGTAACACAAATGTAAAAAATCAAGGATTTAAAGACTTTATACTTCCAAGCAAGGTCCACTGGTGGGAAGAGCAGTATTAGGACCTTCATCACTCCCATTCAGTGAAGACTATGGGTAGAACAGATTGAGCAGATAAAACCTCCCACCTTACTGAGATCCCCAGAAAACTTCCTGTCCTGCATAGATCCCCTAGACCAGGTGGAGATGCTTCACCATCTAAGTGACCTGCCTTGGTTTGCACTAGACTTGGCTTCCAGATGGATTTAAGTTATCCACCTCAAGGGAGGTCCACAGCAGTAGGCTAAGCCAGAAACAACTGCATTGCTACTCTTCAACAAAAAGTAGTGCACCTTTGGCTCCTGCTGCCGTGTGACCACCTGGGCAGTGATCTTACATCAGTTCATTCAGCCCCTGAGCAGCCCCACCAGAGTTGCCATCCCAGACACCAACCATGGAGCATCCCAGCCTCGTGTCCACCAGCCACCTCTGCCTTGACCCAGTGTCACTGTGACACCAGCTAAGCCACCCCTCACCCCCCCATGCCAAAACCAGGGGTGGGCACCCCGCAGGAAGCCATACCTGCCCAGAGCTGTCAAGAAACCTCCAGCAGCCTGGAGCTGCAAACCTTGGGAGCCTCCTTGTACATCCAAGGGTGCTGCTCCCCCTCCCCGTGTCCCGAGCAGGCATCAGCCTCCAACAGCAGCCTTTGTTCTGCAGGGCTGGGAACAACGGGACATTGTGGGCAGCTGCGGGGCTGGCAGGGCTGCCCTTGCAGGATGTGCCCTCTGCCAGCCGTGTTTTCAGTCCTTCTGGCCAGCTCGTGACTAAATCCGCTCTGAACCCTGTTTTGCTGGAAAAGCTGATTTTTGGTCAGCGAGAGGATGGCTGAAGCAGAGCTGGGCTGCAAGGAGAGGAAAACAAAGCGGCTGTGTTTCCTCCTCTGCGGCTCCGGGGTCACTTTTGGGCTGATCCTGCAGAAATAGGTCATCCTCTCTCCCTGACTGAGGCTGGGGCTGCCCATGCCCCGAGCCCCTCTCTTTTGCCATTTCTATCAGCCCACCACAAGCTTGGACCTGCACCTCCAGGCAGGAAAGCCTGGGTATTGACATCAAATTTCAATGAATTTACCTTCTAAATAGCAATCAGATTTTAGGCTGATGGTTATAAGGAAGGTCCTTGTCATTTTTAGAGTGTTGATGGCAGAAGGTTTAGGACTAAATGATTTTTAAGGTCCCTTCCAACCCAAACCAGTGTATGATTCCATGTTTACTACTTTACTTTTTGAGATTTTTTTCCAAATCCACCTAGAACAGTTGATTAAAGATCAGGTAATGTAACTCTGATTTTCTTGTGAGCAACGCTCATCTGTAGCAGTTTCATGTTTTAATAAAAATGTTTTCATCAATTAGATATTTTCCATTTTCTAGACTAATCTTCCCAAGTACTGTAGTTTCTGTACTGCCCTAGGTGAAATATTTCATGCAAACATGTTATTCTCCATCAAGCAAATTCTGGTACAGAGAAGGATAACCAGCAATTTTGTAGCACCCATTTTCCTGATAGTTAACAACAAGATTTCTCATTAAAGGAAGAAATTTTGTTTTCCTTTAATCCTTTAATCCTGGGCAGTAGTAGATTTTGGTGTTTGAGCAACGGTATTTTTTAAAATATGTTTATATAGGATATTTTCCTATGGGAAAAAGAACATAATTTCTGATAAATATTGAAAAAAAAGGCACTGCAGAAGCAGAAATCTTTCCTCTCTGGGGGCAGCAGCCCTCACTGCTGCTGAGCTCCAGACATGTTCAACCTCCCAAGAAACCTGAAGTATCTATGTCTTGGAGTTAATTTTTTTTTTTACACAGTCTTTCCTCCCTCTTTTTTAAAAGCCTGGATCCTGGTACAGCTCTTCCAGACCTTTTAAAATAACCCTTTTCAACCTGTTTGACTAGAGGTCCTAACTCATGTAGTTGTAATTACAGAGCCAAGGTAAGGGCAGAGGGAAAGTCCGATGTGGCTGCCTGCAAAAAAGGCTCTTTGATTCAAGGTGAAGACCAGATTTGCTCTTCAACCCACCCATTCAAAAAATAATGTCTCTGAGGGAAAAGACAGATATGGTAAAATGTGCCTTTTACCCCTAAAAACTCACACGTTTTCAGCCATGAAAACACACTTGGAATTTAAATTTCTCTGGCTGTACCTGTGCTGCTGCCAGCAGCATGTGCTGGGAGTCCAACATGAGCAGGATTAAACACATCCAATGGGAACAGCACCCCAAAACAGGGGTCCTTGCAAATCCTGCTGTACCAAAACATGTGTAATTGCCAACAAAAGAGATTTTGTCCCTCGCTCAAAGTTAGCAGTGCAAATAGTAAGGCTGGAGACTGGGCCCTGAGAGGTTTTTGTGGTTCAAGAGGATGAATTGACAGGAAATTAAGGATCAGCATTTAGATTATTTTTACTCACCTGCTGTTAAATCAAAGCTGAGCCCAGCCATCACACCACATCTGAACTGAAGAGATCTGAATGCTCTGAGCAGCCAAAGCATCCCAGGAAAAGCCACTCTGCCAGGCAAAAATATGTTACAAAATCAGAATATCTCTCAGAATGTACATAGGCAGATGAGCCACATTTCCGTGGGTAAGCAGAGAGAAGCAGTGGAAGAGTGGGCATGAGCCCAGGGGGGGATGCTCACCTTTCACAGACTTAGAAAGAGAAACCACAGCTAAATTCACTCTTCTTTGATAGCTGGGTCAAAACTTCTTTTGCATTGGGCTCTGCATCTCTCAAACCCTGAGGAGCATTTATGAAAACAGATCAAATGCAGCAGCTTTGGCAAATCCAGTTTAGCACATCTGTCATCGAGCAGATTGCAGCAGCACAGAGAGCACGTCCCAGCCAGGCACTACAGATTTCTTTTACCAGAAAACCACTAGATGGGGATGCAAGGACACTTTTCTGCTCTCTTTTCTCTTTCATCCCATCGAACTGGCCTTTCCCACTCACAGGGGCTGCTGTTGTCTTTCCTTTTTTCCCTTTAGGAGCTGACAGAGGTCATTTGGAACCTTATCACTCTCTGAGCTCTCATCCTGCAGGGATCAGGCCTCGGGCAGTAGTTGCGGTGCAATTGCTTCTTGCTGAATATTATTCCCTGCACCAAGGCTTAGGAAGAGTAAAAGGTTTGCCTTGCAGTTTGTGGATTAGTCTTCTTTTATAGGCTGTGGAAAGAAAAGGCACTTGAGATTGAACACAGGGGAGAAAATGGCATTCAGCAAACTGGTAATCTCTGAAAATGTCCATACTTTGGAGCAGTTACTGCGGGTAAAAGCCAGGAGATTTCCTTGGGCTCAGTAGTCAAACCTCTGGGTAATTTTTTTTTAAAATCCACAGTTGTCCTAAGAATAAGCAAGACGAAATCAGGAGAACTGTTTTGGCAGAGGCAAAGGCAGGATCAGCCCTGCTCTGCAGGCAGGAGCACTCCAGAGCTGCCCCAGGAGCACACTGAGGCTGCAGGAGTCCGTGGGATGCATCAGAAATGCTGTGGGAGAGAGAAGGGCTCCAGTCCCACAGAAATTGTCAGCTCTGACCTCCAGTCACCTTGGCCTTCTGCAATGAGCACCCACTCTTACTATTTTATCTCAAGTGTCAGGATATTTGGTGCTTAAATTGATTCCCAGCTCCTGAAGTCAGATGAGATGGGGAAAAAAATCTGTCCTAGCAAATCTTTAACAGTAAAATTCCAGCTTTTAGAGGATGCTATGGTACCCAAAATGCACTCCAGGCTTCAAACCACAGAAAATGCTTTGAAAGAAATCCAAAAATTGATTAATTTCAGAGCAATTTCATGAATTGAAAATTCAGTGGTTGGCAGGGAGGGCAAGTGGGTGTCAGGATGTCTTCGGGAGTCTGAAAAAAAGTCTCTGGTAAATACCCTGAAAGCAAATTAATCTTATATCATCGCAATCAATTCAGAAAAGCGGGAGAGCAATTAAAATATTACCAAAAAAAGTGTCTTTCCTACTCCATATGCTCAAAATATGGAGCTAATGCTGCCAGTTCATGGCAATCAGTGTCTTAAGGGCTGGGAGAACAGAAGCACTGGGGACTGTTTGGTGTTTTCAGCTGCATCTCCACTAATTGCTAAAACCAGATTGTTCTAGTTCATTAAGCATGAACAGAAGGGCAGTTGCTTTTCCTGGGCCAGAGGGTGAGGAGGTTGCAGGGTGAGGGCTGAAGGAGCACTGGGATGGCAGCAGGGCCATGTCCCCACACTCCCTGGCTGGGGACACCACGGGCTGCCCACCATCCCTGCCAGGGCACTGCAGACTCCAGCTATTCCTCTTCTGTGCCTTCTCCTCACGGCTTAGCAGTCTCCTCATGGTGACAACAAAATGTCTGTTTTCCAGGACCCCATTTTATGGCTTAGCCATGGCAGGCACTTGCAGCCCTCCATAAAGCACGCTGACACGCTCTCTGGTGTATTCCCAACTCGACTGAAAAATTGATCAAAGCTGATAGAGTTACAGGGCCCTGTGTCCCTCTACAATCTGCTGCTGTGCTGCTCAGCCCTTGCAGAGGCAGCAGAGCCAAGCCCTGTGAAAACCCTGTCTGAAAAATGCACCTCCATCCTGCCCTTGGCTTTGCAGCCTGGGATGTGGATGTGCAGGCTCTGTCCCCCCTCCTCTCCTGGAGCCAAGCTCCCCCTGGCATTTTGGGTATCCCCAAAATG